AGGTAGAGAAAAGTGTAAGAGGTCAGGTCTGGCAGGTGGGGGCAGGGGAAGGGAGGGGGGAGGGTGGAAAGAGGGGACCGAAGAGCCTGCAGATCCCTTTACCGAATCTGACTAATCTGAGGAGAGGGCAGTTTCGCATTCAAATGATCATAATTTGCCATCAGCCAGGAGGGCCTAAGGGCTCTGCAAATATTTTGGTTTTCGTGGGACTTCTCAAGCTTGCGTGTCAGGAGCAATGCAAGAGCGAGAACCCGGAAATGGAAGATTTGGATTTAACTGACTGCAAAGATGTAACAGGTGACAAGGCAAGCTTCCCACCCTCATCTCATCAGCGTACAGGAACCTATTCGGAGGAGTGTTTACACTACACATTTTCTCTTTAAAAGCTCTGCAGGAGGGAGGCAGCACAGTGGGAAGTCTTGAAGAGGGGGCAAAAAGGAATGACCTCTTCTTGCCTTCGTCTGCTTAGCCCATACAACCCTCTCCTTCGCAGCAGCCACTTCCAACAAGGATGCTAATTCTCTCTCGTGGGGGTGGTAGCATTTATGATGTGGTGCCCTGACCCTTGAGGGCACCAGCCAGCAAACAGAGCCAACTTTTAGCTCCTACTGACCAGGGCTACATTTGAACTGCCAACAGAGAGGTGAAACATTTGCTATTATTGCCGGTTCCCTAATCTAGCAAACTTTCAAAACTTCCCTTAGAACAGGGGCTAACATCTTAACATGGGAGCTACCTTGCAGTCATCTTTTCTGTGATCACACATCCCACACCTCATTTCTTCCCTTTGTGATCTCAGAACGTTCTCATGGAAGCTATAGTAACCGCTTAAACAGGGAAGTAGTATTAGGAGGGTAATTAATTTATTTTTAGCTGCCTTTTAATTAAATTGAGCAGCTGGAAGAAGACAAGCATCCAGTACCATGTGACCAGCCCGTTCTCCACTGACCATATTTTGGAGCCTTTTTGTTCTAGCCTATCCAAGCTTTTTTGTTTTTAAAACTGAACTAATCAATGGATAGGTACTAACTAGCACCAATGGAAGGGTGCAAGGGAGAAAGCATCTGAGAAGTTGTTGCACACCAGTCACTCTGTAGTATTAACAAATACTAGAGACACAGCAACAAACTACTCTACCAAGAATATCAGCATTTCTCTCCTCACGCAACACAGCACATAGCTTTAAGAAAGCAGCGAGTGCCTGCTATGGAAAGCAGATGCAAGGGAGGGTGGAGAGGTTCAGTATGATTATTCAATTTTAGCCACGCAAACTTCTAGTTTCCGTACATACATCAGTGGTTTTCAAAAGGGACTATTCCGACTCAGACAAAATACATGTAGAGCATATCTTTGCTGGCATAAGGGATGGCTTTAACACACCTGTCTTTCATTCTTACCACCCAAGGCCTTCTCAAAGCATGTATTGCTTCCTTATCTTTGTTGCTAAAGTTTTCCCAAGACCTGGGTATAAATGGACATTTTGTGTGTATGCATTTGCGTTACCTTCACACGCACTATATAGAAGGTGCATACACACACACAGGCATGTACCTAGTACCAAAGACAACAGGAATGTAAATATGTTTTAAGCCTAGTTATGGAAGGTACTTTGGCAAGAGGCAAACAGGGACACAAAGTACTATTTAGATTCTTCAAGCTATGGCCTCCATTCAATACACAATCAACAATATTTAGACAGTATGGTCCAGTTCCTTCCTTCACAAGGTAACTTCCTCAGTCTGGCAGGCCTCAAGCTTGCAATAAAATGACCTTATGTTTAAGGACAGTGTCAAATTAAATAAACGGCTAAAGGAAAAGTTTGATCTCTGTCTCGGCATATGCACAGTTGTTTCACTGGTTCCCTCCTGCTTTGTCTTTATGGTACAGGCAGCTTTTCTCCACTTGAACTGAACTGAAAAGTTACTGAAGCAAATCTTACAGTGCTACCTTGGCAGTACACCAGAAGTGTAAGATCACTCCCTGATCCTGCTGGCCTGTACAACATGCGGAGAAATCGCTATGCAGAACAGACTGACAGGAGCTGCACAACGTGCTGGAAATAAAGCTGAAGAACGGATGACACTGCTAACCTTGCGCATTTCTACTGACATAAATCAAGCAGCATCCTGGAGTACCGGTTGTCCCCGCTCCCCGGCCTCCCGTGTTCCTCAGGCAACAGCTTTTCTACAACACGACTCCACATTGATGCTGTGAGCTGCTCCAGCTCAGCTAGCCCGATTCTCTTGTTCACCATTCGGAGCCCCCCCCCCCCCCCC